TGTACTTCGTTACTCCAGCTCTTGCAGCTCTGGCCCTTGGGACTCTCCTGTCGCTTTGCTTGCTTGATTTTCGGCATTCTCTTCACTTCACCTGTCCCAGCCTTGGAATCAAAGGTTCTTCGCAGAAGCCCTGGTTTCTTTGAGTAGAGAGTGGTATTTTGAAACCACGCCCATGGCGCTGGGTGTGCTCACCACTTCTGAGGTGTCATTGCTTCTAGCTTTTCTAGGAAGGGGGAGGTGGGGAGTGCACGTGTGTGTGCCAGCCCTGCACGCTGCATCTTCTTGTCATGCTTTGCAGTCTCTCTTTATTATTAAAAAAGTTTATTTATTCGAAAGGCAGAGTGAGATATATACACACACACACATATATACATATGTGTGTGTGTGTATATCTTTTAGTATATATATATAGAGAGAGAGAGAGAGAGAAAGAGAGAGAGGGACTCTTTCATCTATCCAAATGGCTGAAACAGCCAGGGCTGGGTCAGGCAACAGCCAGGAGCCAGGAGCTCCATCCTGGTCTATCACATGGGTGTGGGAAACCTAAGTGCCTGAGCCACTATTTGTTGCCTCCCAGGCATATCAGCAGGAAGCTGGATCAGAAGCAGAATTAGCTAGAACTCGAACCAGCTCTCCGATATGGGACACGGGTGACCGCGGTAGCGGCTTAACCTACTGTGCCGCCACGCTGGCCCCTTTCCCATCTCTTGATCCATAAGTTTTTTTTCCCCTGCCTTTTATTGTCTTTCATGACCCTGGCATTGTCAAAGAAGCCAGAGATGACCATTTTTATGTGAGATCTCCTGCATTTTAATGCTGGGAACAAACTCAGTGTTTTTGTTTGTTTGTTTGTTTTAAAAAAAAAAAACATGGTGTGAAGCAGACTGGAAAGTGTGCTGAGCTGAGCAGATGTGAACTGTGGGTTTGTGGCAGGAGTAGGAAGCACACTGCTACAGCCAGGGGCTGCCTGGGGCTGGGATCGTCCCACGTCGAGACGGATGTGACTTGGGGATGGTCCTGGTGGCCGGGGGAAGTCTTCACAGGAGTGGAGCCCGCCCGTGGTGGCGCAGCTGGAACCACACCCAGGCTGCTGACCTGGACAGGGACCCTGGGCAGGCAGCCTCCCTCAGGGGACGCACAGCCTGCTCTTCCTGTCTTTCCAGGGCAAGGTCAGTGTCCCGGCAGTCCGCGGCCAGCAACGCTCCAGGCAGCACCACCTGCCGTTCCCAGCTGCCTCTTTCTGATTCTCTTGAGAGGCCAAGGGCACCGGCAAGCATAGGCACCGGTGGGCACAGGGGAGAGGGACAGGCAGCCCAGGCTGCTGACCACATGGGGAGTCTGGGAATGCGGTCTGCTCCAGGACGGAGTCCTCCATACCGCTGAATCCAGAGCCGAGACCCGGAATACTTCCCCTAATCTCAGCCCCAACTTCCTACATGCATGACCTTGGGAACCGAATAAACTTCCTGTCTTGGACTCAGTTTCCCTAATGGTAAAAGGGAGTGGGTTGGATTAGAGAGGTGAGGGTATCAGGATATCCCAGGGTTCACCACAGGGGGTGGGGGACAGGGCGGGTGGGATTCCAGGGACCCAAGACCTGCTTGCATCTCAGTATAGCGGCTGGGTTTTCACGTAAATTTCATTAGCAAAAAGGGTTCCAGTATTTCCAGTACTTAAGATAGCCACCCCAGGTTGATATGCTAGGACTCTGCGTGTGATGGCAAAATAAAACGCAGGTGCTGTGTGGGGTGGGGGTGGGGCTGGGGGAGTGGTGGAGAGCTGTGGGCAGAAGAAAAGGTGCCCCTGACAACTTACAATCAGATGAGCAGGAGAAAGAGCCCATCAAGATTTGTTATGCTTTTTTTTTTTTTTAAGATTTATTTATTTGAAAGGCAGAGTTACAGAGAGGCAGAGAGGAAGGGAGAGAGAGAGAGAGAGAGGTCTTCCATCCGCTGGTTTACTCCCCAGATGACTGCAATGGCCGGAGCTGTGCCGATCCGAAGCCAGGAGCCAGGAGCTTCCTCCAGGTCTCCCATGCACGTACAGGGGCCCAAGGACCTAGACCATCTTCCATTGCTTGCCCAGGCCATAGCAGAGAGCTGGATCAAAGTGGAGCAGCCGGGACTCAAACTGGTGCCCATATAGGATGCCGGCATTGCAGGAGGCGGCTCTACCTACTACGTATGCCACAGTGCTGTCCCTATCCCCTCCCCCACTTTTTGAGATTTATTTACTTCAAAGTCAGAGAGAGAGAGAGATTTTCCATCCGCTGGTTCATTCTCTAAATGGCCACAAAGGTGGGGCTGGGCTGAATTCAAGAGCTAGGAGCTTCTTCAAGGTCTCCCCACATGGGGACAGGGGCCCAAGCACTTGGACCATCCTCCACTGCCTTCCCAGGTAAATCAGCAGGGGGCTGGGTTGGAAGTGGAGCAGCTGGGACTTGAGCCAGTGCCCATATGGGATGCTGGCACTGCAGGAGGTGACTTAACTGGCTATGCTACAGTGCCAGCCCGTAAGATTTTTTTATGCTTTTACATTTGCATTTATTTATTTTCACTTTATATGAAAGGCAGAGAGACAGAGAGAGGCCAGGCCGAGGCCAGGTTGAAGCCTGGAGCCCAAACTTAATCTGGGTGTCCCTCACAGGTGGCAGGGACCCAAGTCCTTGAGCTGCCTCACAGGGCGCGCATGAGAAGGGACTGGAACCAGGCATTACGATATGGCGGACAGTGACTTAACTGCTGCACCCAACGTCCATGTCCACAGAGGAGGTGGAGTGGAGCAGCCCAGGAGAGAGGACAAAGGCTCACTAGCCAGAGCCGGGAACCCGGGCAGGAAGGCCCATGGCTGGGAGGGACACTGGCGGCCAGTTCTTGGAAGCACACTCAGTGCCAGCCCCTGGTGTGTGGTCGGAGTCCCACGCAGCCCTCCCCGCCCTCTCCTCCCACCTGCCAGAGGGATGCATAAATCCAACACAGGGCTTGGAGACGGGCTGAGAAGCTGGGCTGGGCTAAGCTGGGGCCGAGCAGGCCCCCAGGGAGCCCTGAGCTGGCCGCTGTGTGCGTGACGGCCAAGGTCGCTGGTTCGGGCCTGGCGGTTACCGCCGCTGGGACCATTACCTTGACAAGGTCCCTCGGGCAAGGGGGCTTAAAAACCACTCGTGAGGATGACACCCCGGTGACACCGGGACAGATGCTGACAACCGCTGGCATTTTGCCTACACCAGGGGTCTGGCGCTCCCAGCGGCCTTCAGTGGTGGGGCGGTGGTGAGGGTCCACTGAAAGCTTTGGTTTTGGGTAAGATTTGCTTGGCTCTCCCCGGAGTTTGCACGCGTCCCCCAAATCCACCGTGGAGAGGTCAGTCCCAGGGTATGGGGTTAGCAGGTGGGGGATTCTGTCGCGAGGGCGGAGCCTCAGCGCTTGGGTCGGGGCTTTGGCCCTTCCTGTCCCACAGGAAGACCCAGCCAGCAGAGGGCGCCCTGATCCCCAGATCCCAAGCCTCCAGCGCTGTGAGAGAGAAATGTTTGTTTCTAAGCTCCCCAGTCTGTGGCGCTTGTGAGAGGAGCAGGAAGGGGTGAGGGCAGTGAGAGAGCTCCCCAGACACCTGCTGTCCGGCCCCAGCGGCCACCACCGCAGGGAGGCCCCCAGGCTGGACCTCCGGGGCTGGTCTCCCGGGCTGTGGTGTGCACACCAGCCGACTCAGGAACCAGCAGGGGATCTGGGGACTGGGGGCTGGAAGACTTGTCTTTTTTTTTTTTTTTTTTTTGAGAGTTATTTATTTGAAAGGCAGAGTTACAGAGAGGGAGAGAGAGATATATATATATCTTCCCTCTGCTGGTTCACTCCCTAAATGGCCACAATGGCCAGGGCTGGGCCATGTGGAAGCCGGTAGCCAGGAGCTTCATCTGGGTCTCCCACGTGGGTGCAGGGGCCCAGGGATTTGGGCCATCACCTGCTGCCTCCCAGAGTGCGCATGAGCAGGAAGCTGGCTTGGAAGCAGAGCCAGGATGCAAAGCCGGACATTCTGATAGGGGGGTGCCGGTGCCCTAAGCACATCCTAACCACTGCACCAAGCACCACCCTGAAGCTTCTGGTTATCCCAGCTCAGGTGCGAAGGAGGCCCACGCAGCTGGCCTGAGGGCTGGGCCTGCGTCTGCCTGGCTCTGGGAGGGGAGCAGCTCCTTACGGGGTTTTACCCAGAGAGGGGCTCCACACCAGGCCTTACGTGGGCTAAGTCACCAGGGAGCAGGTGACAGCTCCTAGTGTTGTTTTCTCCTGCAGCCGTGACACCACTGACCTTTGGGCCCACTCAGTCTTCTTGGCCTGCAGGGCCACCCCAGCTGGCACTATTCAAAGCTCCCAGGCCTGCCGGTCTACTGCCTGCCAGTTCTCGAGGGAAGGGACCTTGGTGTAGGGGAGTTTGGGTGGTCATTGCTTGGGGCCAGAGGGGGACTCAGCGCTCTGCTTGCTCTTTGCCATGAGAAAAGGAGGAGGTTTTTTTTTTTTTTTTTTTTTTTTTTTTTTTTTTTTTTTTTGACAGGGCAGAGCATTGGAAAGGAGAGATGGGTATAGGTGAGCAGAGGGTCATGGGAGCCCAAGACGGGGGCCTTGGGGCCAAGATGGAGTGGTCAGGGCCACACTGGCAAAGTGATGGGCTTCTCAGTGGGAGCCCCCCACCCTGTGCGTGCGGCGCCTCCAGCCAGTGCCGCTCTGTGCGTTGCTGTGCTGGTGTGAGAGCGAGACTTCTGTGGACTTTGCAGAGGGGCTGAATATTGATGTTAGGCCAGCCTGGGCCTCCTGTGGGAAGCAGGTGAGGCCAAAGGCAAAGGCCATGGGAACCAGAGTCCTGGGACCAGGCAGGTGTTGGGGGAAGTCTTGGGATGTGTGGAGATTTCAGAATTGGGGTGATGGCGCGAGAGCAAGATTTGGTTTTGACAAAATGAACCCTGATTTTAGAAGGAGTCAGGCTCGGGTGCCAAGAGGAATGAAAACACCCCCTAAGCCTCAATAAAATGGCTGAGTTGCCAGTTTATTTGGGGTTTCTGGGGTTCTGTGCCCTGGGGCAGCCCTGGGGACCTGGCTCAGCCCAGGGCCTCGGTGGTGCACAGCAGGGCGGCCAGCAGAGCCAGGCCCAGGACGGCCACGGCCCCTAGAGCCACATCCCACCAGGCGCTCGGGCCGGCCCAGGACGTCTGCAGCTGCCAGCCACAGTTGCCCAGCTGGAAGCCCGTGAGGTTGTGCAGCGGGCGGTTGGCAGCGGGGTTGGGGCTGGCGCAGTGCACGAACCACAGGGCCTCGGGCATGCGGTCCTGCAGCCAGAGGCGCAGGTAGGTGAGGCCGCAGTCACAGTGCCAGGGGTTCTGCTCCACCTCGAGGGTCTGCAGCTGGGGCAGGTGGTCGAAGGCGCCTGGGGGCACGGAGCGCAGGCTGTTGTTGGTCAGCAGGAGTTGGCGAGTGTGGGCTGGCAGGTCCGGCAGTTCCGTGAGCCCCCGGCCCCTGCAGTCCACCCTCAGCCCCATGGTTTCCAGGTGTTGGCAGGTGCACGCCGCAGGGCAGTCCTTGGTGGCCTCCACTGTGGCCCAGAGCAGGACCAGGACCCCCCAGGCAGGCATCAGGCAGGCAGGCTGCAGGAGAAAGCAGCTGTGAGGGAGGGCCTGGCAGCTCGCACCCATCTCTGGGCCCCCTCTCAGGCCTCAGCGTGCTCCTCTGTGAAGTGGGGTGATGGCTGGGGCAGGGCCTGGCTGACCCTCACAGGGCACATCAGAGGGCAGGACAGTACTGGCGGTGGAGAGTGTGTTTTGGGGAAGGAGAAGAAACCTCCAGGCCCCCAGCCCTGCTTAGGGGTTCGAGCAGAGCTGTCCCCTCCAGCGCCCTGTCCACCATGGGTGTCCCCTGAGTATTTGTGGAATAAATGTGCATATCTGCAGAAGCCCCCAACCAGCCCCTTCTTCCCCAAGGGAGAGCCAGGGAGGGACCAGGGCCGCCTGCTCCCGGCTGGGGGCCACGTTGGGTAATAAGGGGGCCGCTTACCTGTGAGGCCTTCTGTTGGGCACCCTCTCTGTGGCCTGCACGGCTGGAGACGGTTGGGAGGCAGCGGTGGCCGCCACCACGCGAGAGGGAAGGAAATGACCAGAATAGCCTGGCTTATCCCCCGAGTGCTGCCGGGAGGGCCCTATCTCCGGAGGCAGGAGGCCCTCGGGTGCCTGGGCCTTGGCCGCTGCACCACAGCCCACCGATTTCTGGAAGGGCTTCCTGTGGTCCCAGCGGCACTGCAGTGGGCTTCGGTCTGAGGCCCCCGGGAGGACTGAGGGGGCCTCAGCTGGCCCAGGAGGTAGCAGCAGGGGGACCCTGGCATGCGTGCTTCTGCTCGCTGTTTCTCTGAGTTGCAGCTGTCCCCGGCTGTAGCATGGGAGCAGTAGCCTCCGTCCTGTTTGCGTTCCAGGGCGGTGGGCTGGGCAGCTCCCACGGGCAGGCCAGGAACCTCGGAGCAGGGAGAGTGACTTAGATTTCCATCTTCCTGAATAGGTCAGGAGAGGTCTCCTTCTGTCACCAGGCCATCTGACACTTCCTCCTCCCCTTGCCTAACAGAGAGCTGCTGGCCGGGGCTCAGAGCCACTGCCAGCCGTCAGCCCCCAGCTAGAATGTCACGCTGCTGTTTTACCTGCACTCATATGGGATGTGGGCGATTTAACGGACAGCTTAACCACCAGGCCAAATGCCTGTCTCTAAAGTTCCTTTTAGGAGATAAATGTATTTTTAAATTTGGTTATGCATTTAGTCTTCTACAGTATTAATCAGAATTAAACCCAACAGGGACAGGTGTTGGGATGCAGGGGGTTAAGCCGCTGCTTGCGGTGCTGGCATCCCATATCGAAATGCCAGTTACAGCCCTTGCTGCTCCACTTCCCATGCAGCTCCCTGCTAATGCACCTGGGAAAGCAGCAGAGGATGGGCCAGGTGCTTGGGCCCACGTTGGAGACCCAGAAGAAGCTCCTGGCTCCTGGCTTTGGCCTGGCCCAGCCCTGGCTGTTGTGGCCATCTGGGGAGTGAACCATTGGTTGGAAGATCTCTCTCCCTCTCCCTTTCTCTGTTGCTCTGCTTTTCAGATAAATAAATAATAAAAAAAATATTATAAATATATTATAAATCAAAACACTGTGCATTTTATGACACCCCAGAGGTGGTTCCCCGCCATGAACTATTAGCTGGATCATGCCAGGATTCGCAGAGACTGCAGAATGTGCACACACGGAGGGGATGGGGCAGCGGAATCCTGGGAACCCTGGCTTTGGGAATGCGTAGGAAAATTCTAGCAACATGAGTAAACAGACCCCTTGGCCAGTGAGGAAGGGGACCCCTGGTCACCCTCGCAGTCACGGTTATAAGAGCATCAAACCCAGAAAGAGAGCCCTGGGCCTCCGTGTGGAGGGGGTCTCAGGGTCAGGGCTGGATGGGGAGCGAGGCCTGGGGTCTCGGCAGACCGCTGTCTGCTAGGCGGGCTCTTAACCCTGGCCGGGCCAGAGGCGGCCATGATGCTCTCCAGCTGGGCTTCAAAGCAGGTCGCAACTCCAGAGGCACAGCTGCAGGCGGCCAGGGCTGTTGTGTTCCTTGCCACACCTGTGTGTGCGTCCCTCAGGTTTGTAGCAGCCTCTTCGTGGCCCAGATGTGCTGTGTCCATCCCAGGGCCTCCTTCCCCGCTGCTCACGCAGCTCTGAGAAAGGCGAGAGGTCACGCCTGCCCTGGCAGCGGAGGACTCTGACCGGAGCCTGGGCCTGGACAGGGGTCTTGCCTGTGTCCATCAGGGAGCCCGAGGGCATTCCACCTGCACTGCTCCCCACACTTCCGGGCGGCTGACCTTGCCCCTGTGAGCGGGGGTCCCACAGTCCGCAGCCTACGCTCCCGGCTGGTCTCTCTTCCTCTCTAGCCTCTGCGATTGCCTTCTCATTTTTAGCCTGCAAGACTGAAAATAACAGAAAACAACACAAATAACGCAGTCCCGTGGAAACGTTAGGATGGTCAGATGAACATCCCAAGATGGAACAGGACCGGCTCCCCTCCACGTGTTTTGTCCACACAGGAGCTTGTGGGCCCGCGTTCTGGTGGGATCCTCTCTTCCTGTGAGAGTCCCATTCCCATGCCCTGGCCACACATACCATCTTTCACCTTAGGGTTCTCCTGGGGCCTTTGGCAGGAGTGGGGGTGGGGCATGGCTATACAAGCTTTGGAGGGAGGAGGGACCCTTCATTCCGGGGCTGCCAAGTTGGCAGACCTGGTTTGCTACCCGTTTCCCTATGGAGAAACTGAGGCATTGCCCACCCATGCCCCTCTGGGCTCCTGCTTCACTAGCCCCCAGCTCTGGCCCATTCATTCTGGAAAAATCTCAGCTGTTTTGGATACCGTGGCTCCCGTTGCCCCACTTCTCCCCTTTGCCCCACAGCCAAGCCAGCAGCGTTCATGGCTCCCTGGGCTGGGAGTCCTTGCCTTCCACGGTGCATGTCTCCCTTGGCTTCTGCTCCGGCTACAGCCACTGCCCCATCTCTGGCTCTAGCCCACACCTGGGCTCCCGAACCCTTCTGCATGTCCGCTCTGAGCGTCACCCAGGCCCTCAGGCTTACTGTGGCCTAAACCAGACTTTACTGCCTGCCCTCAAGGCTGGTCCCCCCAGTACTGCCCACCTCGGAGGGAGCTGGCTCCGTCCAGCTGGTCACCCATGCAGAGGCCTGGTGCCGCTTGGCTGGGCCACTCTCCCAACCTCCTCCATCCCCTCCACCGCCAGCTCCGCCTACTCCCTGTGGATCTGTCTGGACAGCACCCCAGTTCTGTGCTCCCATCCTGTGCTCACTCACTGTCCCCCAGGGGACCCCCACTGTCTGCCCACAGCAAACCTCAGAACCCACCTCCTCGGCTGCTCGTTTTCCTCCCCGGGACCCCTTGCCTGGCTCCTCGCTGCTGCTCCTGACCCCTCCTCATCCCGAACCTCAGTGTTCTCATCTTTATTATTGCATAACAACAGGTTACCATTTAAGAAAAGATGTATTTGAAAGAGTGACACACAGAGAGGTCTTCCATCTGCTGGTTCACTCCCCAGATGCCTGCAAAGCTGGCGCTGGGCCAGGCTGAAGCCCGGAGCCTGGGACTCCACCTGGCTCTCCCATGCAGCTGCAGGGCCCAAGGACTGGGGCCATCTCCGGCGCTTTCCCAGGCGCATTAGCAGGGAGCTGGATATGAGATGCCAGCACTGGGCGGCGTAACCCGCTCTGCCTGGACACCGGCCGCCATGTGCGCCGTTTTAAAGCGTGCAGCCCGTGGTGTTGGGCACATTCACGGTGCTGTGCCGCGGATCTCAGCCCTCTGCGTTCACGAAGCCTCAGCTACCCTCCGTGGATTCTCTGTCTGACTTTGGCTGCTCCCACCCGTGCTGCTCCTGCCCTGGCCTCGGATGGGCCCGCGCTTTACCTGCTGTGAGCCGTGGCGGAAGGGAGGGCGGTTGGTGGAGTCTCATGGGTTATTTTCCCCAGCTTAGTATAAAAATAAGAAGGCGGGAAACAATCTGCAAAGAGGCAGAAACTTTTATTTGAGAGAAAAGAAACTTGTATTTGATTGGCCAGCGACAGAAAGCGTCTGGTCCGAGAGGCGAGCAGGCGGCGTGCCCAGTGGGTCACTGGCTTTGAGGAAGCGTCCTGAGTTTTTAAGGCGTTACTCTCTGTTCATTGCATTATCTTATTGGGGTGCCCCGTGGACAGGGGGTTTCACATACGTATGTTGATTGGCTTGGGGCTCATGGAGATAGTGGGGGTCTCCTAGAGCCAGTCCTCTGACTCTCCCCAGAGGCTCAGCCCCCTCCTCTGCCAGCTCTGGGTGAAAGATTGCAGCCCCCCCTCCAGGTGTGATTGAAGGCTGCAGGGTACACTTGGCGCACAGAAGCTGTTAGTGGGGAGGTACCTGTCGGCCTGGAGACTGGAGACAGCTTTCCAGCCGCAGCTGACAGCTTGCTTGGGAAGGACGTTCCACCTAGGTCCGAGGAGCCCAGAGACCCCCAGCCCCACTGGACGGCCTCACCTACTGCGGAGTAAAAGCCACGCTCATCCCACCACCTGTGGGGCCCTCCGTGGCTTGGTCTCGGCTGTCTCTTGACCTCTTCACTCCCTTTCTTTGCTCACCAACCCCCAGCCACACTGACTTGCTGATCCTCAAACTCTCCAGACTCAGCCACCTCAGGGCCTTTGCACCTGCTGCTCCCTCTGCCGGGAGCATCCTCCCCGCAGCTCCTCCCCTGGCTCCCTGCTGATCACCATTCACGAGGTCCCCAGCTGAGGCGGGGCGCCCACCTTCTGCCCCACAGGGCCCCTCTCCCGGGGCTCCTCAGGGCCAGGATGATCTGACGCTCACCGTATGTGTTTGTCAGAGTCTGTTCTGCGGAACGAGAGCTCTGAGAGGGCAGGGACTGCGTCCCTGTAACGCTGCACCCCAGCCCCTCCCTCGGTGAACACTCGTCAGCCCGCCGGCTGCGTCCCCTCTAGTTCTGGCCTGGTTCGCGTCTTGCCAGGACCACTGGCTGCTGGGTTCCCGGCTCTGCCGCTGGCTGCAAAGGTTTGCTCTCGCTCCTGTCCTGCTCAGCATCCTTTCATCGCTCGCTGGAATCTTCCGGGTAAAACCCACCTCCTCATCAGGGTTCTCCTTGTCCGTCCCCCCTTCCTGGCCTGAAGCTTCGTGGTAGGTCACCCTCTCTCTAGCATTTGTGTCTGAAGCACTCCTCAGCATGTCTCCTGGCACACTTCACCGAAGTGGTGATCTCTTCCAGGAAGCCCTCCCGGATCTACTCTCATCAGCCGAGTGGGTGGTGTTTCTGTTTGCTCATCTGCCTGCCCCCTCTTGGAGACCCCTGTACCCAGTGCAGGAGTGTAGTGCCACGGATGCTGGTTCACGGAGCAGGGGAGAGCTGACAGTCGGTCAAGGCTGTCAGGTGATTTCAGGGGATAATTTCAGTCTGGCTGTTGTGTAATTAAGGAACCTGCTCAGGAAGACCCTTGTCTTAGAGGTCGGGCTCCTCTGGGAAGCAGAGGGGATCAGAGGCGGCGGCGATCACATGGCTTTTTTAGCTTGTGTGCGACCAGGAGGCAGTGGTAGCCCCTGCCTGTCGCTGCGGGGCCCTGGGGCCAGACACACAGCCTGCGGGTTCTCCCTAGTCGCCGGCTCTGTCATCCAGGCTGTGAGCAGCAAGCCTGGGGCCCAAACCTGCTTTTGTTTTAGGACGTATTGAAAGGCACGGGGCCGGCACTGTGGCACAGTAGGTTAATCCTCCACCTGCGGTGCTGGGATCCCATATGGGCGCCAGTTCTAGTCCCAGCTGCTCCTCTTCCGACCTAGCCCTCTGCTGTGGCCTGGGAAGGAAGTGAAGGTTTCCCAAGTCCTTGAGCCCCTGCACCTGCATGGGAGACCAGGAAGAAGCACCTGATTCCTGGCTTCAGATCAGCGCAGCTCCAGCCGTTGTGGCCATTTAGGGAGTGAACCAATG